AGTTATCATTTCATTCTAGACTCAATTCAACCTGGTAACATTAAGCAAATCAAAAGTGATAATATTCCATTCAGATTATGTGTTAATAAATTAACAACATGGGCACCAATGGATCTATTTATTTTGAATTATTTTGCCAAATATGCTCAAACAAGTCTTACAAATAAATGTCTGATATTTTAACCATAATATATAAAATTTGGTCATACAGGATATAATAATTCATTATGAATTATTATAATTGTACCAGGTCTGATTAATTTACCGTGCTGAAAGCTTTTGATGATGAATACGAGATCTGCAAATTTTAATTCCAGGTGATAACCAATAATGTAATCCCACTTATAAACAAAGACCATTTACAAAGCTTATTGGATTTCTATCATCCATATAAGTAAAATAATAAGAGGTCCCATCAAAATTATTCAGATAAGTCAAGTCATTCCAAGGAGGAGAGAGTATACTTACAGTGATATGCACTAAAATATCAGTATCTCCCCAAAAGACAGGCTTAAACATAGGTGTACAAGTGAAATAAGCACAATAATTTACAGCTGATCCCTGAACAAAAGAGACAATTAACAGAGCACATACGGCCAGAAAAAATATTCAGCTGTAACTGGTCTTTTGGACTGCTGGACAATAATCTGACCATAGAGCACAAGAGATTTCACCTAACCCCAAGTTGGTGATCGTGGTGAAGATCAGTATTGGTGAGGTCACTTCCATGAGTATAATTTTACCATGGCCAATATTGGAATGTCTACTTCAGGAGTCATAATTGTCACTCATCCTGAACAAACAATACCATACCCTCTCCCTTTCTCCATTATAAATGAAGTCTGCCATTCAGTATATATGGCAATTTTTCTGCTGGTTCAACATTTGGAGTATGAGTAAAATATTTATCTAATCTAACTAGAATATCCATTCAGGGCAGATTTAAGAAACTTAATATATATTAATGTAAACTTGCAATTATTCTTCCAAATATTTCATATTTATTTCTTACCAAAATCTTCCTTTTTAAAATTTCAATTTGCTGTTTTAAAATGTAATGGACTTGAAATTTGATTAATTTATCAAAAGGGAATTTTTTTCTTTTTATTAAAAAATTCCATCTTCTTACCTTTTTCCATTTCTATTTTCTTCCTTCCACGCACTTCTGCCATCCTTTCCAGTCCAAAGAGCAGTCAGAGTTCCGTAACTTGTGGGAAGTCCAACGTTGTCTTCCATCCATCATGGTCTAGGTAGGTGATCATCCAAATAAACTAGGCTCCCACAAAGCCAGCACACGCAGTAGATCATAAACCCAGTGTCATCGTCCTTGGCTTCTCAGTCAGCCCTCATTTCAGCCACATTCATAGAGTCTTGTTTGACCACGTTCTTCATCAGTCCCAGTCCAGCTGGCCTTGGTGAGCTCCTATTAGATCAGCCCCACAGTCTCAGTCGAAGGGTGCACCCCTCGTGGTCCTGACTTCCTTGCTCATGTTCTCTCTCCTTCTGCTCCTCATTTGGACCTTGGGATCTCAGTCCAATTCCTCCAATGTGGGTCTCTGTCTCTATCTCCATCCATTACCAGAAAGGTTCTATGGTGATATGCATGATATTCATCAGTGTGGCTATAGGATAAAGCCAGTCCAGGCACCCTCTACTCTGCTGTCCAAGGAAAAGTATGATTATTATATCAAAATGGAATTTTATCTTGAACATGTGGATGATTAGCATTAGTATGTAAATGTCCACTGTCATCTTTAACAAAGGAAAAGGCTACCAATGATCCCTTAGAGTATTTCCAAATTTTCAAATGTCATATCTTCAGACATTTTGCATGTGATTATAGGTTATAACCTATTCAAAAAGGCCTTTTAAATATGCTGTTTTACCAATTTTACTTTTGTCTGAACTTCTTTAGTAAGAAACTTATTTTCCAATATCTAAAGCATTTTAATTTTTTTCTTTTTTTATTGAGAAAAGGAGAAAAAAAAACAAGTTTCCACCTCCTCCCAGCTTCCCATTTCCCTCCCCCTCCTCCCCCCTACGCCCCCTCCTCCCACCCTTCTCCCCCTCCCCCCACTCCTTTCCCCCTCCCTCTCCAGCCAGTCCAAAGAGCAGTCAGGGTTTTCTGCCCTGTGGTAAGACCTAGGACCTCCCACCTCCGTCCATATCTAGGAAGGTGAACATCCAAACTGGCTGGGCTCCCACAAAGCCATCACATTACGTAGGATCAAACCCCCGTGCCATTGTCCTTTGCGTCTCATCAGCCCTCATTGTTCGCCATGTTCAGAGAGTCCAGTTTTATCCCATGCTTTTTCAGTCACAGTCCAGCTGGTCTTGCTGAGCTCTCAATAGATCAGCTCCACTGTCTCAGTGGGTGGGTGCATCCCTCGTGGTCCCGACTTCTTTGCTCATGTTCTCCCTCCTTCTGCTCCTCATTGGGACTTTGGGAGCTCAGTCCAGTGCTCCAGTGTGGGTCTCTGTCTCTATCTCCATCCATCACCAGATGAAGGTTCTATGATGATATGCAAGATATTCGTCATTATTGCTCAAGGATAGGGTCATTTCAGGTTCCCTATTCTCAACTGCCCAAGGAACTAACTGGGGACCTCAGCTTGGGCACCTGGGAGCCCCTCTAGGGTCAGGTCTCTTGCCAACCCTAAAGTGGTTCCCTTAACTAAGAATTGTGGTTCCGTGCTCCCCTGTCCAACCTTCCTTTATCCCAATTCTCCTGCTTTCCCAAGGCCCGACCTCCTTCCCTTCTAACTTTTCTCTCCCCATCTCCCCTTACCCCCAACCCACCCCACCCCAAGATCCCAATTTTCTCCCCGGCAATTTTGTCTACTTCCCTTAGCCAAGAGGATAACTATATGTTTTTCCTTGGGTTCCCCTTCTTACTTAGCTTTTTTAGATTCACCTATTGTAGACTCCGTGACCCTTATTTATGGTTAGAAACCAATTATGAGTGAGTACATCCCATGTTCATCTTTTTGGGTCTGGGATACCTCACTCAGGATAGTGTTTTCTATTTCCATCCATTTGCATGCAAAATTCGAGAAGTCATTGTTTTTTACCGCAGCGTAGTACTCTAGCGTGTATATATTCCATACTTTCTTCATCCATTCTTCCATTGAAGGGCATCTAGGTTGTTTCCAGGTTCTGTCTATTACAAATAATACTGCTATGAACATAGTTGAACAAATGCTTTTGTCATATGATAGGGCATCTCTTGGGTATATTCCCAAGAGTGGTATTGCTGGGTCCAGGGGTAGGTTGATCCCGAAAGGATAGAAGAGAAAGTGGGAAATACTCTACAACAGATGGGCACAGGAGATCGCTTCCTATGTATAACCCCAGAAGCACAGACATTAAGAGCAACATTGAATAAATGGGACCTACTAAAACTGAGAAGCTTCTGCAAAGCAAAGGACACTGTCACTAAGACACAAAGGCAACCTACTGACTGGGAGAAGATCTTCACCAACCCCACAACAGACAAAGGTCTGATCTCCAAAATATATAGAGAACTCAAGAAACTAGACTTTAAAATGCTAATTAACCCAATTAAAAAATGGGGCACTGATCTGAACAGAGAATTCTCAACAGAAGAAGTTCAAATGGCCAAAAGACACTTAAGGTCATGCTCAACTTCCTTAGCAATCAGGGAAATGCAAATCAAAACAACTTTGAGATATCATCTTACACCTGTGAGAATGGCTAAAGTCAAAAACACAAACGATAACCTTTGCTGGAGAGGTTGTGGAGGAAGGGGTACCCTCATCCATTGCTGGTGGGAATGCAATCTTGTGCAACCACTATGGAAGTCAGTGTTTTGGTTTCTTAGGAAATTCGGGATCAATCTAAAGCATTTTAAATCTTTTAAATTTTTATTTTAAAGCCGGTCGGTGGTGGCGCACGCCTTTAATCCCAGCACTCAGGAGGCAGAGGCAGGTGGATCTCTGTGAGTTCAAGACCAGCCTGGTCTACAGAGCTAGTTCCAGGACAGGCTCCAAAGCCACAGAGAAACCCTGTCTCGAAAAACCAAAAAAAAAATATTTTAATTTACAAATTATAATAAATGGTGGTCATAGTTTCAGCAGCCAATTGCACTTTTCTTTCAGATGGAATATATTTTCATACTTTCCTAAAACTGTTAATATTTCCTGTTTCCTGAAATGATAGCATAGCTCATTATAACACACCTTGGCATTTTTATATGCATGACCTTTTCAGAAGTTATTTCCTTGCTTCTTCTCCAATTACAGTTTTTTCTATTGCTTGTTTTAGTCGAACTAGGAATTCAATGAAGGCTCATTATATTTCTGGATAACTTTAATCCACGAATCATCATTCTCTCCCATGGAGCGAAGATGCTCCCATGCTTCCATGTCTATTTCTCTCAGTTATTCATGTATTTCAACTAGGGTATGAGTCTGTTGATTACGGTTATCAGAAGCTCCATTTATCTGTTAACATAGGAAAAATAATTTCCCTTAGCAGAGGATTGTTGCAAACTGCATCAATTTGAGCCTTCTCAAATATAAAAACCCATATTTGCCATTGAAAATATTTAGGCTCCTTTTCATTCATTATCTCCAACTTTTCATTTAATAATACCATCTTTTCTATCCCAATAACATTGCCCACCTCAAAATCGTAATACCTCTAAAACAAAAAAAATATTAATTCTAGTAAAAAAGACAGTTATAGGATCAATTCTTGGTATAAATGCTTACCAGTAATCTTTAAGAGCCTCTCTGACTCTCTATCATTTTTCTCATCTATAAAACATCTTTAATATACTCAAAAAACCCTATAAATTAATTTTAGTATTTACCCCTCACACCTTGAATGCATGTCTCATTTCATGCTAAGTAATTGTTTGTCCTGTGATCACTGTTCTGGTGACCGAGGTTTAGAAGACACAGCAGGTTCCTGTGTTTTTCTTCCTCTTATTTATACTTCACTTTATATGGGCCTCTCTGAACAGCATCTTCACTGAATCTCCCGTGTTCCAGACACACTTTGGGCACCACTTTACCCTGGTCCACCTGAAAGTCAACAGAGTCCCTCGAGGGGAAGTGAGATTTGATGCGACAAGAGATACCAGAGATGGAGACAAGACAGGATTCTCATCAAGACTTGTTTATTCAAGAGAAGAATCCAGGTAAATATAGGGTAAGGGAAAGGAGCAAATTCTCCTTGTGTATATGGGTAACTAGGCAACTTACTAGACGACCTAACTATTTCTAATGTTCAGGCATAAAGTCCCTAACTGCAACACGAAGAAAAGTCAGAATGTTCAAACCATGGGAACAATGCAGCAATAAATCCGTGCAGAGTTAGTAAGTGAGAGATCAGAACAGCATGAGGAGCCAAACACAACAGGATGTGCAAAACTGAATCAGGAAGCAGTAAGTATCCAACAAAAATTATTATATTTTATTGTGTAGATATGATTTATACACCAGTATTCCATACTGAATACACACTCTTGTGATTTTATAGAACCGATTTAACATGGACTTTTCTAATACAAAGGCCTATCAATATTACTGTACAGTAGAAAATAATTCTTTTTTCTTAGCCTTCAACATTTGTTAGTGGTTTTTTCCTAATTGTGTTAATTGTAGAGAGTTTTCCATCTTTTTGACATTTCATAGTGGGATGTCATTATGCTAAGCATTTTTCACTCTTTCTTTGCCTTCATTTAATTTTACTGGGCATTTAAGATTTCTATACGTTTACCCTTTAATACCCCAATTTTATCCTTTTTTTTCTGGAAGTTAGAGTCAATGTTTCCTGTGTGTCGAGGGATAAATATTCATGACAGTTTTGGAAAATAAATTCTTTCATAAATTTTGCAGAAGAAGTTTATGTTTCTCTTACCACTATCACCCTAACAATATGGAATAGGATTGATTTTTACATTAGGCAAATTATTCCTTTTGTCAATTATATAGTTGCATATCTAAGAGAAGCTATGAGTGAAAATTTAGACATGTCTATACATATGAAACAAGTAATAACCTCTGAAGAGCTAAATTTTGTCAATTTATGGCATTTGAAGTAGCTGGAAAAAATCACACATTTTACCTCAATATGTTGTACTGCTGTTAGTTGCGGTTTTGACATTAACATTTTAGGATGATTATAGAAATTATAGCTATATTCATGGTTTATGATACTGACTCTCAGATCCTAATACTGTAAACAATTATTTAAATACATTATTTTTAAGATAAACAGTCAAACTTAATTTTATTTATTTCTAAGTGTTATTGTATGGGAGACTTCTGAATGTTGCTCTTATTTGATATATTGTGGAGTATATAAAAACAGCAGATACTGTAGTGATCCTATGGTTTTAGGTAAGGAGGCAGGCAACAATTGTAGAATCTGTATGAATGCAGAAATACAATCAGAGGAACGAAAGTAAAAGAATAGTTACTTACATTTAAAAACATCAAAGTCTACTTTAAATAATAACCCTTATGTTATTTTCTGCTTTCATGTTCGAAAATTAACAGACTCATAGAGGGATCTGTCCACGAACTGGTAATTTGAAATATGAACAACTGGATCTGTTTATAATATATACATGTGAAAAAAACTGTATACTACAATATCATGTTGTCCCAGGACATGGAGCATGAATAAAGAAATCTCTAAGATTTACTTGCCTGATTTCATACCACATGTGGCACAGTTCAAGGCATTGCATGCTGTTATACTAGCACATACAAATAGTAAATGATTGGTATTTATGTATATGTACACTTTTATTATTGAATTTCCATTGTGTAAGTTTTTATATTTAATTGCTTCATTACGAAATCTAGAGAATGTTCTACTGTATTCTGAGGAACATTATGAATGAAAAATATTATCAGAATGGCTTAACTTATTTATAGAAATGATAAATTGGAAAGATAGATTTTCTGATGTATGCTAGCATTGAAATGATGCCTATGTGCTAGAAGAATGCCCCGTATCAACACACAAACACAAACACGCGCGCACACACACACACACACACACACACACACACACACACAAACACACATTTTCCCTGAAGTAAGATGTCACTGAAAAGAGAGAACAGAAAAATGACCTGAGGCGGGAGTACTGATATTGGTGATTACAGAGAAAATCTAGAGAACACATTGTATTGAATTTTATAAAAAATTAAAAGTTCATATAAAAGTACCTTAAAACATTTCAACATTTTAATTAAGACTATTATCCTGAAATCAATGTCAATGCATGTACACATATGTGAAACACTAATATAAGCATGCAGACAATTGTGAAATTTTATAAATATTACGTATATTGTTTTTCCAAATAAAAACATCAAAATGTGGCTAAATTATCATGACATTTTTAGATACAATTTTGGAATTTTTGCATGTTCAGACTGGGTTTTAAAATAACATTCCTATTTAGAAAATATCCTTATTATTACATAATTTTCATGTAAAATACGTACATATTGGTGTAGGAGGGATTTCTGTTTACATGTTGCTTTCATTGGTTAATGAATAAAAAAACCTGCATAGGCCTTTTGATAGGGCAGAACTTAGGCAGTCAGGGGAAACAAAACTGAATGCAGGGAGAAAAAAAGCAGAGGAGAGAGCTGCCATGGAGCCACCAGAGTCAGATGTGGTGAAACTTTCCCGGTAAGCCACTGCCATGTAGCAATATACAGATTGATAGAAATGCATTAAATCAAGTTGTGAGAGTTAGCTGATAAGTGGCTAGAGCAAATGTGTTAAGAAGGATTTTAATTAATATAATTTCTGTTTTGTTATTTTGGGGCTAAGTGAGCAGGATGGCTGGGACGAGCAAGCAGCCTTTCCCTGGAACAACTGGCACTCAACGTGGTCAACTGAATCAATAAAATATATGAACTACAAAAGGTATGAATAAATACAACAGTGTATTAAAATTATTTTTTCCAAATAGAAATGCATACATATAAACTCACACTCTATACACATGGTGGCAATGATGTTTATCCATTATTATCATCAGAGTTTCAAAAACACAATTTCAGCAATCTCAATCCGTTACTACTTGGTGAGCAGTAGCAGCTCCAATATCATCTAGTCTGGTAATCTTCTGGTCAATCCATTACACGAAACTTTCAGTAAGGTATTGTGGTTAATTTTCTTCCTGTAAACACACACACACACACACACACATACACATACATGAGCTCACATGCACTTGATCCTATATTATAGCATTGTTTTGTCCTTTCCATAATCCATTGCAATGGTCTTTCCATTTGCTTTAGACAAAAGTCTCTTCTACACCATCATGCCAAAATCTATGCATGGTATAATGCTTGTGGGAATTCACATTTGAAAATTTAGAATAAAAAGTGCATGATGCAGTGAATTATGTCGTGACTGAAGGATCACTCACATTTATTTATTTATTTATTTATTTATTTATTTATTAAAATTGTGTGTTCAAGAAGCCAGGGAGAATGATCACCTGAGTCAACACTTGACCTGCAACCTTAATATAACTCGCATTTATTTATTTATTTATTTATTTATTTACTTATTTATTTATTTATTTATTGAAATTGTGTATTCAAGAAGCCAAGGAGAATGCTCACCTGAGTCAACATTTGACCTGCAGCTTCAATATAAAACCTGGGATAATTGGGTCACTTTTCCCAATTATCTCACTGCATTGCTCAAGATTTTCAGTAGACAAGTTTAAAATAGGCACAGTCACTGAATATTTACCAGTCATTTCTGACATTTCTTCAAAGTTTTCAAACTATTGATCCCAATTTCCAATTACTTAGTCTTAATTTCTTTAGGATGAAATATATGTCCTGATTGGGAAAGGTGGTTGCTTTTGTATTTTCTGTGGGAAATCAACTACCCATAAGGGAAAGTCTCTGCTTAAGATGTCCAAGAATTGCAAGCAAATCCTTCATTTTTCATAGACATACAAGATCCGTAATGGATAATGTAAACTTGTTGAAAATATTTAGAATATTTTGTATTGCATGAACTACACATATATTGCATAATATTACACTGTTTGCATTACCTAAGGCAACACTAATCAATAATATCTCTCAATTTGGTCCTTTAATTGGCCTATGGAACACTACATGAAAATCTTTGAAAATATTTTGGAACAAAAGGCATGGTAAAAATCAATCTATTAAATCTAAAACATTTTATTGGTACTATTTGTTCCATACCTTAATGAGAAGGTAATCCAGTCTAGTCTCTAAAGCTCAACCTAGATGTACGGTCTCATTAACTATTTATAATTTTTGTATCAGTTTCCATTTTACAGATTTCTATGTTATGAGCGAACATATTTACGTGTTTACCCCTGAAAAGAATCAGCCATAACTAGTCCTTGGGTGTATGACGTTAAAATTCCTCAACAATTTTGAATGTGATCAGAAATGGCACCTTTCTTTCTAAAAGATGTCAAAGTAAGCTGATATATTACATTAGTACTATCGTTGGATAGCTGTTTAATAATCAAAAATCAACATACTGGATTATTAATATTCTTATTAATGGCTGCATCAGCGTGGAAACAGAATCCTGGAATAACTCAACAGGTCCCTGTCTTATTTAAGGTAAGTCCATTGTCTGCTTTCCTGAAGAAAGAAATTTATTCCAAGAACTCCTTGGGCCATATTACTCACAGCTGTGGACTGACTTTATTCTGAAAACTCAGTTTTCCTCGTCAGGTAGCCTTTACCTATCAGACAAGCTTTGGCTGTCTATTTCAAGTCCCTGGAGTATGGCTTTTAAATCCATATATTCTAGCAGCATGTGTAAAAGGAGAAAATTAGTCAAACTGAGCTTAGGTTCCTTTTAATACTTTGCCTTGTTTTAATGGTTTCAGGTCTCGTTGTCTGAGTAGAGTTCCCTGATCATCTCATTGCTCTATTCTAGAAATACTGGAAATCCCTGAATATCTTCACATCAGCTCACTGCTTCTCTAGCAACTAGCTTGTACGAAAAATGCACAAAAAAAGGTGGGTGTTTGCCTTGCTCCAGGAGATCTGTGCACCAAAGATGGATGTTAGATGTGTAATTCTTTTATGACAGAAGATTTTCAGAGACTTCAACTTCTGTGAAAGTGAAAGAACTAAGTCTCTCAGGCCTTTTAGCTCCTGTTCTAGCTTTCCACCATCTTTGACTCTCAGAATTCCTAGTCAGAAGTGATTGATTTTAAAGATCCTCACTATGGTATTTGTGGCTTCTTCTACAGCTTACTAGGCTCAGACTGATTGTGTCACAGTACCATAAATACTTCTTAATCTATCAGATCCTCTTTCTGCAGAGAGTCTTCTCTCACTTCTAATGACTTCAGGGGAGTCATCTATGTTTTTAGGGTAGAAAGCATAACTCTCCCTTTTAAGCACCCACAAATGAAGTAATTTGTGCGGGCAGAAGCAGATATATTTCATTGTTGAGAAAATTGTAAGTTCTTAAAACCTTTTAAATGTTATGTTCTTTAGGTCTTTGAAGTGTTGAAGACTATCTATGTAACTGAACTATATCTCTGCATATCTATAAAAACTAAATAATGTTATTAAGATTTTGATTATTATTAATGACTATCTATTAATCTTCTTAACTATACATATTTAAATGATCAGCAAAGACAAAACCTTAACCAAGAGCAGAATTACATATACCAAAATCAACCTTATATGTTTATCAGTTAACTAAGATCAAATCCAATGTAAATGGTTCATTTCTATATATAATGTCCCACCTGAAATATTGATCAACATATATGATTATTTGGAAATTTGCATGTAGTTTTCTCCAAAATGCTTCCTATGCTTGTTGGGAAACTTTTTATAGGGTTTCTGGAGGTCTTATGGGAGCTCTTGCTCCTTCAAATAATGTTGGCCTGGAAACAATTCACAGGTTCTCATCTTCTGTGGAACAAAAGCAGGACATCTTTTCAAAAGTAACATATCCACCATGTGGAGATGGTGCACACCTTTAATCCCAGCACTTAGGAATCAAGAGTCAGAGGCAGGTGTGTCTCCATTAGTTTTAGTCCGGCCTGTGATACAGAGCTAGTTCCAGGACAGGCTGCAAATCAACAGAGAAACCATGTCTTGAAATACCTAAAAACTAATAGAATATCTTTAGATTCAAATTTTTATGCATTGATAAAAAATGTTTTCATTAGCCATAAGAGCCCTTGAATCAAATATCCATCTGCCATCCCTGTATGACAATCAGTTTTTTTTTAAATTTAATTATTTTCTTTTGTTATTTTCCAACATGACTGCAGCCTCTACTCTGCCTCTTATTCCACCCCTACGTTTGGACAATCTCTTACTCTGTTCCTCCACTGTATTCTCACAGTATGAAGGATGTTTCTCATTGACAACAGAAAGCTTGGCCTAAATCCTTGCCATAACACCAGGCATCTTTCCCTATATTTATGCAGAAAAATGCAATGATGCATGAGGAACAGGTTTCAAAGTATCAGCCAAAGCCACAGAGACAAATCATTCTTTCTGCCAGGTGTCCCACTTATAGATCAAGCATCAACAGCGACAAAAAAGCAGAGGTACTAGGTGGCTGTCATGAAGGCACAGTGGTTGTTGGTATATCCCACAGTAATTTCTGAAAGTCATTCAAAGTTTGTGATGTTTCTCTTTTAATTTCCAATTTCTGAGGCTTAATTTCTTTTGAATAAGCATATATCCCAAAATATTCAAAAGATGGCTGTCTTTGGACTTTCACTGGGGCAATTACTAACTCCAAAAGTACAGGATTCTGTTGAAATATATTAGAAACAAACTTACTTCATTTATATGGACAAGCTGGTCGTCATCATTAAAGCATAATATAAAACTGTGGAAATTGAAATGTAAGATTTTATGTAGCCTGAGCCACAGATTTCTGCCATAATATAAATCTTTTTGTCATAACCTGAAGCAAGATGTTCTAATGCTTTTGTATAACTTGATATTTGAAATCAACTGATGAAACACTAACTGCAAATTTTTGACCATTTCAGTGAGCCCAGGGGATGGTATAAAAAGAATCTTTTAAATATAGTCCAAGATTATGGGTATATTTTGTTATGGAAGAAACAGAAGGCAATGAAAGATATAAAGCTCCCATTACCTCTCATTAATGGTTTTTAAATCTTATATCAATCTCCAATTACAGGATTTATTAGTCAGGAGAAACATCTTTAACTGTTTTTTTTTTCCTGTAAAACAGAAGTCATAGCTAGGCACTGGCTATACGAGTGTCCAATATCTGAGGATATTCAAATAAAATCAGAAATATTACTCTTATTTCTAAATCGTCTCAAAGCAGACTTAAATACTATAATAGTATTGTTGTAGGCTAGCTTTACCTCTCAAGTATCCAGTTTCAGTGTCTCCAATTAATCTGTTTGGTTACTGCAGCATCCTGATACAATTGATCAGGTCCCTGAATTACTTGACATTAGTCTTCAGTCTGCTCTTCAGAAGACAGAAGTTTATTCCAGGCCTTCTTGTCATTGAAGTAACTTGGACATATACTGCTATTTCAAAATTTAGTTGCTGATTTCTTTTTCTATGAAGTCCCTCACCAGTATTCATATGAAAAGAAAAAGGAATTTGTTGGGGCAGATTTCTCTGATCTGTGTCCCAACATCTTTCTTCATGTTTGGTTTTCTACAACAGATAGTCTCCATTTGACAGGCAAGCTTTGTTCTGTTGTTTCCATTTCCCATAGTGTAAGGCTTCTAAAATTCTGAACTCCAGCAGCATTTGCATCAAAGGAGCATTTGGGCAAAACTGAGCTGGAATTGCTTTTAATTCTTTGAGTTTTTTGAATGGGCTCAGGGCAACTAACTTATTATTTGTCTTGCACTTATATTTGCTCAATTGCTAATAACATTTTTTTTTCTCTCCTCAGCAAGTACCTTCCCTGAAACTAGCTTGCTTGAGAGATACACAAAACAACTGGGTGTTTACACTACTCCAGGTCTCTGCATCATTGCTTGATCTAAACCAGCCCTTGGGTAAGAAGAGGAGTGCTTTTGTGATAAGAGGAGTTTTACAGTTTCCAACTTCTGTGAAGGTAATATTGGTAAATTCCTCAAGCTTTTTAGATCCTGTTTAATTATTCCACCAGTTTCTACTTCTCAGCTTTGCTCACCAGAAGCAAAGGACTTGAAAACTCCCTATTCTTGTTCTTAGCAGTTTCTACCTATCGCTCTCTCTAGGCACAGGCTAATCATATTCAAACAGTACTATAAATGTTTCCTCATCTAACATCTCCTGTGGTGGATAGGAGTGTCCTGTCTCACTTCTAACCATTGCAGGCAGAACTACGTTTTACCTATTACGTACAAATACAAACTCACCGTTATTAGCCCCCACAAATGAAAAGAATAATTTGTGCTAATTCCAGGTTATAATGGTCTTGGTATTTCACATCAAGTTTTCTGTGTCCAAGAGACTATGCTTGGGAAATCAAAGGGTAAGTTTCTCAAAAAATTCTAAAAATTTCGGTTTTTGAAACTGATTCACCTAAGCTCCTCTAGTTTGTAAATTATCTTCTAGGCAATTGCATAGTCACTTAACTACTGATTTTCTGTCAAAATACAAATTTATTTACAATTATAATCTCCCATTTTTCAATCCATATTCAATTTTACTTTTTTTTTCCCAAGCACTTACTCTTTAATTTACACCTGTGGAATCGTCTACCTTTTGGTATTGATCAAGCAATATTTCCATAGTCCATTTTCACTTCTGAGGAGCCATCATTAATTGTCCTGACCTACCCATTTCCATACTTGTGGTAGGGATAAGGATTAAGATAAAAATTTACAAGAAAAACTGTATAGATATTAAAGACACACAGTGAATACTGTCATATATCTCAAGATTATTATTCAAAGTTCATATATATCTCAGTCCAAAAATGATTTAGAAGGCAAGACTTCCTTGCAATGATACAAAGAACAAACAAAGTAATATTCTCTCAAAATCATCAAACACGGAGCAACCCCACCCTAAGTCAAAGTATCATTATTCTTCTCACAGTGTCCTATAAGAACACATTAAGTCAAATCATCCTACCTTATATGCTTCATGAAGCAAGTGTAGATCTGAGGAATTGGTGAATCCTGTGAAGCCACCATGGATTTGGTATATCTCACTATAATTTCTGAAAGTAGTTCAAAGTTTGTCATCTTTCTCTCTTGATTTGTGATTTCTAATGATTAATTTCTTCTAGATACAACATATATACCAAATATTCAAAAGAGAGATATTTTTTTTTCTTTCGCTGGGGAAATTATTAACCCTGAAGGGACAGGATTAAGCTGAAGTTGACAAGATATTCAATTACTCATCCTTAATTGGATGATATGAACTTTTTGAAATTGATCTCTAATAATTTGTGAAGCCTGTGAAACAGAATTCAAGCATAATGTAAGTCTTTTTTCATATCATGAATCAAGATATTCCAATTACATTTTCTAATTGGATTTATGAATTGACTGATGAAACACTAAATGCAAATCTTTGACAACTTTGAGCTCCCCAGGGAAAGAAAAAAAAACTTGTAAATCTAAGACAATGTTATTGGTATCTTTGGCTGTGGAAGATTGAGAAGGCAATAGAAGCAGTAATTACTCTAATTAACTCTTCTTGAATCTTATATCAATCTCCAATTTCTAGGTTTCATTGTTAGGGATAACGTCTATAACTATTTTTTTTTCTTGTAAAGGAGAAGTCATAGCTAGGACTGATTATATAAGAGTCCAATATCTTAAGATATTCCAATGTAATCAGAAATATTACCTTTCATTCTAAATGGTCTCAAAGCAAACTTAATAACTGTAATAGTATTGTCAAATATTTGCTATTTATCTCTCAATTGTCCAATTTCTATATGTCCTGTTAATATGTTTAATTATTATGTCATCATAAACAATTCATCAGGTCCTTATTTAATTTGTATTAGTCTTCAGTCTGCTATACACGAGACAGAAGTTTATTCCAGGCATTCTTTTTTTTTTTTTTACAATACTGTTTGTTCTATCTAACCTTTTTTTAAATTTATTTTTAATTAAAAATTTCCACATTCTCACCTCCTCCAATTTCCCTCCTCCTCCCCGCATCCTCTCCCTCTCCAGTCCAAAGAGCAGTCCAGGTTCCCTGCTTTTTCGAAAGTCCAAAATGCTCTTCCCTCCATCCAGGTCTAGGAAGGTGAGCATCCAAGCAGACTAGGCTCCCATAAAGCCAGTATATACAGTAGGATCAAAACCCAGTGCCATTGTCCTTGGCTTCTCAGTCAGACCTCCTTGTCTGCCACTTTCAGAGAGTCCAGTTTGATCACATGCTTCATCAGTCCCAGTCCAGCTGGCCTTGGTGAGCTCCCATTAGATCAGCCCCACTGTCTCAGTGGGTGGGCGCACCCCTAGGGGTCCTGACTTCCTTGCTCATGTTCTCCCTCCTTCAGCTCCTCATTTGGACCTTGGGAGCTCAGTCCATTGCTCCAATGGGTGTCTCTGTGTCTAGCTTCTTCCTTCGATAGATGAAAGTTCTATGGTGATATGCAAGATATTCATCAATATGGCTATAATATAGGGCCTTTTCAGGCTTCCTCTCGTCAGATGCCCAAGGATCTAGCTGGGAACAACTCCATGGACACCTGGGAACCCCTCTAGAGTCAAGTATCTTTCCAAACTTAAAATGTCTCCCTTACTTAAGATATATATTTCCCATATCTGCCCTTCTTGTATCACAATGGTCCTATTCCCCCAAGCTCTCCCCATACTCCCCTTCTCATGTTTCTCTCCCCATCTCCCTTTACCCCCACACCAACACCACCCCCAAGTTTCCAATTTTTGTAATTCAGGCATTCTTTCCAGTTGAATTAACTTTTGGCATATGTTGTTATTTCAAAATTTAATTGCTGATTTCTTTTTCTACGAAGTCCCTCACCATTAAGCATATTAAAAGAGACTGGAATTTGTTGGGTCAGATATCTCTCATCTGTGGCCCAACAATTTTTCTGCATGTTTGGTTTTCCGCAACAGATAGTCTCCATTTGAAGACAAACTATGTCCTGGTTGCTTTTAATTCTTCAAGTTGTTCAAATAGGCTCAGGGCATCTACGTTTTTATTTTTCCTGTACATATCTTTGCTATGTTGCTAATAACATTTATGCTATCTCTCCTCAGCTGGTACCTTCTCTGAAACTAGCTTGCTGAAGAGATATACAACTAAATCTGAGTGTTTGCAGTACTCCAGGATGTCTCTACACCATTGATTGCTCTAAACCAGCCCTTGTGTAGGAAGAGGAAGGCTTTTCTGATAAGAGGAGATTTACAAACTTTCCTAATTCTGTGAAAGTGATATTGCTATATCTCTTAAAATTTTTAGCTCCTGCTTATTTTTTCACCATTCTCTACGTCTCAGCATTCCTCACCAGAAGCAAAGGACTTCATTGCTCCTTATTCTTTTACTTAGTGCCTTCGTCCTATAGCTCTCAATGCACAGGATGATCATAATCACACAGTACTATAAATGTTTCCTCATCTAACAGCTCCTGTGGAGGATAGGAGTGTCATGTCTCACTTCTGACCACTGCAGGGGGAAGCACTTTTTACTTATCATGGTGCAAACCCAAACTCTACCTTATAAGTACCCACAAATTAATAGAATAATTTGTGCTGATTCCAGGTTATAATGGTCTTGGATTTTCTCCTCATTTTTTGTGTTTCCAAGATACCATCCTTGGAAAATCAAAGGAAGAGCTGCTCTACAAATTCTAAAATTTCTGTTCTTAAAACTGTTACACATGAGCTGCTCTAGCTTTTAAAATATCTCTAAGTGGACCTTGGGAGCTCAGTCCAGTGCTCTGATGTGAGTCTCGGTATTCATTTCAATCTATTGACTATAGAAGTTTCTACGGTGATATTCAAGATAATATTCAGTCTGACTATCGGACAAGGCCAGTTTACTTACCCTCTGCTCCATTGCCCAGGGTCCAAACTGACATTCCCCGGAAGACCTGGGAACCCCTCTAGAGCCAAGTCTCTTGCCAAACCCAAATTGGCTTCCTTAATTAAGATATCTTCTTTCTTGCTCCCATATCCATTTTTTTTTCATCTCAAACATCCCACTTTTCCAAGTTTTCCACAGCCCTCCTCTTCTCTTTTCTCACGTCTTCCTCCCACCCCAATGCGCCCAAATTTGCCTGATGATGTCTCCTTCCAGTTTCCTGGAGGATCTGTATGTTTTTTCTTTGGGTTCAGATTATGACTTAGCATCTCTAGGATCATGAAATGTAGGCTTAATGTCCTTTGTTTATCGCTAGAATCCACCAATGTGAGAGTACATACCATATTAATATTTTTGGGTCTGGGTAATCTCAATCAGGATAGTGTTTTCTATTTCCTAACTTTTGCATGCAAATCTAAAAATGTCATTTTTTCCCCATGGATTACTACTCTACTGTGCTGATGTGCCACATTTTCTTTATCCATTTTCCATTTAGGGGTATCTAGGTTGTTTTCAGGTTTTGGCAATTACAAATAATGCTGCTATACTCATAGTAAACCAAATGCTTTTGTAGTATGATTGGGCATCTCTTGGGTATATTCCCAAGAGTGGTAATGCTGGAACTGAGGTAGGTTGATTTCTACTTTTCTGAGAAACCGCTACACTGATTTCCAAAGTGGTTGTACAAGTTTTCATCCCCAGAAGCAATTTCATCCCCAGAAGCAATGGATGAGTGTTTCTTTTAAATCACATCCTCTCCAGCATATATTAACAATGGTGTTTTTAATTTTAGCCATTCTGACAGGTGGAAGATGGTATCTCAAATTGTTTTTATTTGCATTTCCCTGATCAGTAAGGAAATTGAAAATGACCTTAAGTCTTTTTGGCCATTTGAAATTCTTTTGTTGAGAATTCTCTGTTCAGTTCAGTACCCCATTTTTTAATTGAGGTATTTAGAAATTTAATGTCCAGTTTCCTTACTTATTAAATATTTTCGAGATCAGACCTGTGTCGGATGTGGGGTTGGTGAAGATCTTCTCCCTCCATTAAGTAGGTTGC